GGAATGCCGTGTGGGTGCGCTGCCTTATGGCACAAAGTTGGCTTAGATAATGTTGCTACTTGGATCCTTTTAACTCTTTGACGCTTGCTCCACATCTATATACTGTAAAACATAATAAAAACACTTTTTACAAGCATAAAATCATCATGATACGGAAACAAAACATGAAATTTATAAGAGAAAAAAATCACATATTTGATTCACATCAATTCTTCCAAACTTATTAATTGCTTTCAAGTAATTTCATAACTGAAACTTAGACTTATTTAACTAATTTTGGTAACTCTTATGGGACTTTCTAAATTTTTTAACAAGGTTATATAATTCATAATAAAAGATGGACAAATATTATTTTAAAATTGAATTTTTATTATTCTCTACTAAACTAGCCTTTCTTTAATTCACTTCATTCCAAGCTTAAGCAGATCTAAGCACTTAATCTAGTGTGATTAAAGTATTTTCATTATTTGGAGATATTTTTAAGTTAATTAATCAGCAACCAAACACCCCAAAATCACTTAACTTTTTATTGAATGTAATATTTAAGAATTTCATTAAAAACTTTAAGTTTTATTAATTAGGAAAAGATTTAGACTCCGACTTTTGATTTTTATGCGAAATCTCAAGCTTCTTCTCAATAGACTGACCACTTGTTTTTTTTTCTTATCTCTCATTTTGAATCAAGGCCTTGCATAATTTTTCTTTTCTTCTTTTTAGCCCAAAATTGTTAAAATTTTACTAAGAATTATTATTTCTGATTAAACATATTTTCCAAGGATTTTGAATATATAATCTACCCTAATTGATAATTCTCAATTATTTCTTAATCTGAATTCCGAAATATTATAAGCTGAAGATTTAAAGGCTTAATTGTTTCTGGCTAATTATTTGCATTTTCTATTACACCTTTTTAATTGTGTTGTGACTTTTCAGGCTTCTGGTAAAAGAAGTAATTAAAATGAAGACCTAAAGTATTAGGAAATCAATTCTAATCTCTTATTTAATGAACATTCACATAATCATTTTTTACAAAATAATTATTCTTTTTAATTCACCAGTAATCCTATCACGAGTCATTACTCAAAAGTCAAGTTTACAACTCAGATATGCACATTATAGAAAAAATTATAGAGTGTAGTGCAACCTACCTTAGTCCGGTCTCTAAACAAACTCTACATGACAATCTTCAAATCAAAAACACTCACAAATCAAATTCAAAGCAAATTCGAAACAAACAACATAAAACACACTCGAATTAATGAATAACGCTTGGGTTGCCTCCTAAGTAACATTTAGTTTAACGTCCTCAGCCCATTAAATCAATTCTAAGGTGCTTCTCCATTATCAAATTGTCTTTTATGTAATCCTTGATCAATCTTCCCAAATTTTAACGCTGGTGTAGGATTGCCTAAGTTATCAAATCTTATTTCTCCCCTTGAATTTTCCGGAATACCCTTGTTTATAATTTTTTGTAATATCTCTAGTTTAATTTGACAACACTTTTTTGAAGGCTATATAAGGGGTTGTATGCGATTGTAAATCCTAAAGGCTATATAAGGGGTTGTATGTGATTGTAAATCCTAAAGGCTATCTCTGGATCCAATGTTCTTCGTTGCTGTGCCTCTTGTAACTCACTCAACTCAGTAGGCATCATGATGGGCACCATGAGGCTTCTCTCGGAAGGGCTGGAGGATGCTTAAGGAGAACTTTTACTTCAAACCCAGGAGATTTCTCTATGGACGAAACTACAGGTTGGTTGTGGCTAATATGGTCTAAAGGCTGAACTCTATCCCTAATAACTTTAGGGTTCTCTTTTAAGGGTGCATCAAATTTTGTCTTAGGGCTCTCACTACAATCCTTAATCATATGTTGCTCTATTTGGTCCTACTTATAAGAATCATCGTTAGGGCCTTAGGGAGACTTTATCGATTTTAGAATATGAAAAGTCACTTTCTGATCATGAACTCTCATTGTAAGTTTTTCTTTATGCACATCAATCGTAGTCTTTCCTGTGGCTAAAAATACTCCTCCAAGTCTCTTCCTCCATTCTTCAATGATGAAGATCTCCTTATCTTCCTTCATATCTCAATGAAATCCGCAGGGAAGATAAGCTTATCAACTTTCACCGCCACAACCTCAATCGCCCCCTTGGGATGGTTCAAAGATCGATAAATTAACTGCTAGGTTGTTGTGGCAGACTGTACCTTTTTTAATCCTAGTCCATTGACAATGGATAGAGGCATGAGGTTAATATTGATATTTAAGTCACAAAGAACTTTCTAAGATTTTTTTTTTCTATAGCACACAAAATGATAAAACTCCTTGGGTCCTTTAGTTTTCATGACAATTCCTTCTATAGGATCGCACTGCATTCCTCAGTCAATGCAACAATTTCAAAATCTCTGAGTTTTCACTTTCTATCAAGGATCTTTTTCCCAAATTTCATGTGATTCTAGGGTTTTAACATATGAAATGCTGATTGTGAGCTTCTTAAAACCCTCTACAAATTTGACAAACTGTTGGTCGGACTTTTGTCTCTAGAGCCTTTGGGGACAATATGGTGGTGGGCTCTGTTGCACAATCCTAGGTGGTGTGGGTCGTTTTCCTAAATTTGGGGTAAGTTTTTCACTATCCTAAGAGTTGAGTTTCGTTTTCCTAAATCTGGGTAAGTTTTTCACTCGGTCTTTCAGACTCAGGATTTATTTTTACATGTTTACTCTCTTTCCCGAGGATGTCTTCACACTCAATCCCCATCATTACTCTGATGGCTTTACATTGCTCCATGTTCTGATCACTTCGATTCACTTTGGTGTTGCTGGAGAGCATTCCTTGGGTCATATTACTCAATAAATTAGCTAACTGCTCCATGTTCCTTGTGACTGCAGCTTGGCTTTGTAGTTGGTTACACATTTGTAACATAATCTTCTCCAATGATGGTCTCTTCTTCTTAAACTGACAAGTGCAGGAAAATCTTGATGGATATGTGGATAGGTCTACCTCAGATTACTATTGCCTTAGTGGTTGCACTTTCTTACAGTGCTGACTTGGGTGTCCCCTCACCGCTAGTTTTTTGCCCTTAGATTGTTGTTGCTCCAATTAAAATTTGGGTGATTTTTTCAATCTGGGTTCTAGGTATTGGAATAAGAATTGTTGAATTGATTTCTTATGACATTTAAGGTCTTTAAGGCAGTAGTGCTATAATCACCTACTAGTTCATAAGTCATCCTATCAGTGGGTAGGGGTCCTGATTATGAATTCATTCCAAAATTGTTCAACTTCTTAGAAATGGCAACATCCTGTGAGGCTAGAATAGTCAAAACATTTGTTTCATGCACACTAGTTGATTTCTTAAGGATGATTTCCTCATATGACCATTGAAAATTGTTCGTGGTTATTTAATGAATTCATAAGCTTTATAAAGTAGTTTTGATATAAGGGACTCCTCAGCTTTAGCATATACGATCGCTCTTAAAAATCCTACCAGCTCATTGTAAAATGTTTGTCAAATCAGCTAGTCAGGTCGCGTGTTGTGTGGACATTTTTTTAAGCAATTATTTGAATATCTCATGTTTCATAAATTGACTCTCCATCTAGCTGGGGGAAAGAAGTGATGTCATTTCTTAGTTTGACAGTCTTGGATGGAAGAAAGTATTTGGCTAAGAATTTTTGAATTAAGTCAGGCTAAGTGGTGATTGATCCTGGTGCTAAGGAGGTTAATCACATATAGTTTTATCCCTAAGGGAAAAAAGGGAATAACCTTAGTGTAATGGCGTCATTGATGACACAGTTATGCCTGAAGATGACACATGACTAAGAAATTTATCAGGTGCGGGTTTGGATCCTGAGTGGGTGATCCCCAAACTGGTTGTTTTTAACTATTTTGATGATCACATGTATAGTTCAAATGTGTTGGCTTCTACGGTAGGGTAATTGATAGTCATATGGCTTTTCTCTACCGATCGGTTGACATACTCTCTAAGGGGTTTCATATGGTTTTCCTGAGGGTTGCCAATTCTAAATATTATTTTTTGAGGTTTTGGGTTTTTCAAATTTTTTTGAGGGTTTCTTCAATTTCAGGATCAAATGGTATTAGTTCAGTTTAACAGTTTGTACTCATGCAACTACGGTTTTCCCACAAGTAACAACGTACTAATGAAAAAAAAAAAGAAAAAAAAAGAAAAAAAAGAAAAGAAATACAAACACAAAAAAAACATATTGACTGAAAATAATTAACATGCACAACACATGAACAGAAATAAACAAATTCAACAATTTTTTTTGGATTTGTAAAGTTTTCATTAAACTAAAGATTCAAACAAAACTATAACAAGGATCACAGATAAACAAGAAAAAACATTAAAAAGTTTAAACCTCCACTCAAAATGTTTCAACTAAAGTTCTCATAAAACTAGAAACTGACTCGTTTTCTCGATAACGACGCCAAAAAATTGATGCCCAAAATTGCTGTGAAGCATTCGGTCAACCACGCAAATATACATGTTGATAAAGTAATATGGGATTTTGAGTCCGTGTATCGATTTCACGAGAAAACTTATCAACATTTTTAATAAGAAAAATTTTAGTGTTAAATCTCTAAGTCTAGTTTGAATAATTCAGATTTTGCAGAAGGCGAAAGTTTCTATAATTATAATGTAAAAATTAAAAAATAGAACTAATTTTTTTTAGAGTTTCTAGGAGGTCAAAGGTTCATACTTTTGTGACCGGCTTAGTGAATACTCTGTTTTTCCATATGAGTTCCTTAGGTTGTTCTTGACAACCAAGGATAAGTCCTCCTTTGCTTATGTATAGGTCATAAGAATCATTGGAAACTCTTATTATAATTAAGGGGGTTTAATCATGCAAGGTTTCTCAGGAATTCTCTAGTCTCTTATCTAGGTTGCACTCTCCTATTGGTAATATGTCTATTACATTATGTAAATATATGTTAACTTATTCTTCTGGTCAATGGTTATAAGTCCTAAATCACGATATATTTTAACTTCCTAATTGATCAGATCTAGAGTAAACTATGATCAGAAGGTTAACATATCTACGTATGAAATCTATAACACAGAAAAAATGTTTAGGGAAAAATTCTAGGATAAAATGACAAAATCACATCCCTTATGTCATCGGAATAAAAATAAGATTTAGCTATTATGCATGAGGAAAGAAAATACAAAGATTTTTACCGAAAACATTAAAGAAAATAGTGTAAGAAAGTATAAAAATCTCGAACCAAAGCTGATTTTGCCCTTACCGATACACTTCAATTCTCTCCTCACAACACAAGCTCTTCGTCTATCTCCCTTGTAAAAGTTCACACATGTCTCCCTTTCAACTCTCTCCAAAAGCTCACTAAGACCAAACTCTAAGTTATCGTAAGGAAAACTTAAGAGAACCCTAGAGCACACAAGACTCTCACAAAAACTTGGTGGAAAAGAGGCCTCCTAAAAGCCAAGAATGCTTTAGGGTTTCAATGCATGTACATATATACTCCAAGCCTCAAATCCACACACAAAACCTTCCAAATTTATCATACTGTGAAACAGGACGCGGGAGCATCGCAGTTTAAAGAGGCTCTCGATGGAGCAGCACGGATGCGCAGTTAGCTGGCGTGGGGATGTCTGTCTCTCTTGAATGCGGTGCAGGTGCGCTAGCTTGGCTAGTGTTGCCACTTGTATCCTTCAACTCTCCGACGCTTGCTCTACACCTATATCCTTCAAAACACAATTAAAACACACTTCTCAAGCATAAACTCATCATGATACGGAAACAAATGATGACATTTATAATGGAAAATATCATTCACATCAGATAACTTGACTATGATTGATAATTTAGAAGACTGGATGTTTGGCTTCAGGTTTAAGCAAGATATTGTATATATTATTGTTGGCACACAATGGTATGCACGGCAATGCATGTGGAAAATTCTATGACCTTTGATATTCCAGCTTTTTTCTTTACTTTTTAATGTACTTCATGCCTTTGATCTTAGTGATGAAATTACTCAAATCACTAATCAGCTGCTGGTCAAAATTTTCATCATTCCTTGCTTGGAAGCTGGGAAACGTCTGTACTAAAAAGAATATATTTTCATGTGACCCTTCTCTTGAATTCCTCACCTTGTATCACCCTATGGGCTTGAGATAATGTTGAAGTTGTGAGTTAGATTAAGTGGAAGGATTCGTTGATTATGAATCATCTATGTTTTAGCAAATGTTAAATGAAGTATTTCATGATAAAATTGCACACAAGCACCTTTTGCATTCATTTCTTATCATTTCATGCTTTTGCATGCCATTTTGATTCCAATTCATTCATATAATGATGACTATTGTTTTGTGTACGTGTAGGGCTGTCAAACGGCTCGTTGTTCGTGAATAGTTCGTGTTCGGCTCGTTAAGAACCTCGTATTTGATTTGTTCGATAAGTTAACGAGCCGAAAACGAATAATTTTTTTGCACTGTATATATATATAATAATCACCCTAACCCTTACAGTTGTATTTAATATGTATATATAATAAGTAGTATTTTTAAAAATTTTAATTACTGCAAGACTATAAAATATGTATAATCAATTAAAATTATTAATTAAAAAATAGAATCAAAATTGTATTAAATTATATTTAAACGATGTTTTAATATAAATAATAAGATTTAAATATCACCCTAACTCTTACAGTTGCATGACTAGGGTTGTCAAAACAATCCTTTGTTTGGCTTGCTGAGCAACAAGCTGAACGCTAACACTTTCTTTTTTTTTTTTGTTTGACACATAAATGAACCGAACACAAACAGTAGTATTTTTTAACGAGCCGACTCGTTTACACCCCCTATGTATGTTTTACATGTTAAGTATCATATTTTATGAGTTACATTCAGAGTCTACTGATCTCTTTGACATTTACACCCTCATAATGTCGATAACTACAAATTTGAGAGTCTACCACTCAAGGCCCATTCCAGAATAAACTGTTTGCTGCTGCTTCTAAAAAAAGCACTTTTTTTTATATAAAATTACAGTCACCCCAAACAGTCGGTATGTTACGATGCGAAGCACTCTACATCTTGCATTTTATTTGTACTTTTTAATTAGAAATAAACAATTTTTTTTTTTAAAGAAGGATTTGCATACATACCACTCAATTCTTATGTATTTGCATACCTAACACCCAAGCTTTAAGTTTGTACAATAGCCACCTGAACCATGCCTCAAAAATGTGTATTCCACCTTTATGTAAAAATGAAATTTTTAGGCGGTAGAAATGTAAAGTGCAAATTTTAGGTGTTTGATATGTGAATAGATAGGAATTGGTTGGTATGTATGATAATGCCCCTTTTTTAAAATATTAAAGAATTTCAGAAATTAAAAGCCAAATTAAAATTAATTAAAATTAAAAAAATGATTGCTAGTGCCGCCAAATTTAGATAGATAAAATGTCCCGGCCATTTCATAGACATAATCAGAATATATTTTTTTTTCTAAGAGTGATAAATAATTGTCATGATCATCCCTTTATGAAAAGCCTCTTCAATTTACGCTCTGTTTGGCGTAACAACGGCTTTTCAGCTTTTCGGTTGCAGCTACGCTGTTTCAGGAAGTTGATATGGAGAAATTGACTGACTGTTTATGACAGCTGTGTTCACAACTGTTATTAAAAAAATATGATCATTATACCCCTGTTTTGTAATGTTGTGCTTAATTAAATACATCAACTACCTATTTCCCTGTACAACTTAATTGCGAACAGCCTTTAACTAATTCTCCAACACCATGATTTGAAAAAAAATAAAATAAATAAAATACATACCACACAGTTCTTATGCATTTACATATTTATCATCTAAGCTTTCCATATTTACATACACGGCGTCCTAATCTCTTGACCTCACGCATTATCTTTTAAAAGTGAAATACACCTTTTTCAAGCATAGAGTTATGACACTAGTGTTATAAATATAAATATAAGGGTTTAGGTGTTAGACATGTAAATATATAATAGTTGTGTGGTTGTATGCAAATGTCCCAAAAAAATTAGACATGTAAATATATAATAGTTGTGTGGTTGTATCCAAAAATATATATAAAAATGATAATAAAAATTCACTGGATTGGCAATTTTAATAGATGAACCCACTTCACTGAAATTTTCATGAGGAGAGAGCAAACTTAGATATGTAAACCTCTGACCAAAACTAAGGAATTCCAATCGCAAAACAGAGCTCTCCACACCGAGACTGAAACATCCGCTTGCATAACTCCATTCACGACACCGCTTTTGGGAGTGCGGTTTTTTATTTGTAGAGCGGGTTTGAAATTTGGTATGCTTATCTAGCTTATCCTGACAAGCTGCTGATCTGCAACTGATCCAGATAAACTAGTTGGTTGTTTGATTTGTGCCAGCTGATTTGCAGTTGTTTCTAGATAAATGAATATTCTGTCATTTATCTGAATAAACTAAGATAGATGTTTGGTTTGTGCATTTAGAAAACAACTGATTGAAAAACATCATTGTTATGACTATATATTTGGACATGTAATTTCATAAACGAAGGGAAAACTGAAAGAAAAGATACGATATACTAACACTTACAACAAAATTATGTTGTCAGAGAACTTACTCAGCAAATTAGTCCAATTCAATCACTCTTTAAGCTCAAACAATGGTCAAAAGAATCATCCATAGCATCCTAAATCAGAATAGTTATTGATGTTTCATGGATCATGATCCCTCAGATTGGATAAGATGACTAGAGGATGATTTCTGAATCATAAACCTCAAAATAAAAAATCTTTACAATTTTCCAAGATTCCACATCAAATTTATTTAGCCAATGGCATCAGCAGAGCAATACATTCAAAGCTTTTGATACAACTTTAAAGGTAACCACTTATTATAGGATTGCGTACAATTAATTCAAATCATTATAATAATTACCTTCAAAGCTTATCCCCACCCACTAAGGATCTGGTTGGCGCAGCGCAGCTGCAGCTTCTCAGCGCAGCTACACTGCCCCAAGAAGCAGCTGCGGGGAAACAGCTGTGGGGGAGCTGGCTGTTTGGTTCAACTGCGTGAAAACAACAGATAAACTAGTTGGTTGTTTGATTTGTGCCAGCTCATTTATCTGGATAAACTAAGATAGATGTTTGATTTGTGCATTTGAAAAACAACTGATTGAAAAACATCATTGTTATGACTATATATTTGGACATGTAATTTCATAAACGAAGGGAAAACTGAAAGAAAAGATACGATATACTAACACTTACAACAAAATTATGTTGTCAGAGAACTTACTCAGCAAATTAGTCCAATTCAATCACTCTTTAAGCTCAAACAATGGTCAAAAGAATCATCCATAGCATCCTAAATCAGAATAGTTATTGATGTTTCATGGATCATGATCCCTTAGATTGGATAAGATGACTAGAGGATGATTTCTGAATCATAAACCTCAAAAATAAAAAATCTTTACAGTTTTCCAAGATTCCACATCAAATTTATTTAGCCAATGGCATTAGCAGAGCAATACATTCAAAGCTTTTGATACAACTACTTTAAAAGTAACCACTTATTATAGGATTGCGTACAATTAATTCAAATCATTATAATAATTACCTTCAAAGCTTATCCCCACCCACTAACTCTAGCAAGCATCTTTATCAAAGAACCCATCAATAAGTAAGCTCGTCACTATATCCACTACCATCTCCTTAAATTCACTATAAAACCAGCGATAAGAAATACAGACAAAGACTTTGTTTTATAATTTCTAAGGACTTCCATCAAGCCAAAGTTTAACAGATATGTTGGCTTAATATGTTCCAGGCGTACCTCAACAGGACAATAAAAAACCTCAATCATGACTTCTATCCACAATCACATAAGAAATAGAATTACTACACAAGCATACCGCTTGGAAAATGGGCCTTCAGAAGTGATGGTGATCCTGTTTTTATCCCGTGTGACAGAGAAGACATTGCCAATCGTGCCGGCCTTTCCGCCAAGCGAGGCTACCTTGATCCGTTCAAGGAGGAACTTCTCAAGGGATGCGATGTCCATAATCTTGTCATAAGTTTGTCTTCCACCGGCTTTGAACAATCGATGACGAATGTCAAGCCCTTCCGTTTCCCTCCGCACCAGCCTGTCCCTGTTCAGCTCATCTTTCGGCCTCTCTCAGCAAACTCGCTTGTTTTGGAGTTTGTGCGTTAGGGAGATCGAGCGAGGGAGGAGGCGAACAACAGAAGAACCATTCGAACACACGTCGACGATGCGGGCCGTGGGGGTCGATCCCGCGGCCACGGCTAATAAAGATTTCAAAACTACATTTCACCATAATCTGCCAGAACACACGAGCCAAACGGCAAGGTGACGTTTTTAAAATGCCGCCCACGATTATAAGCTGCCCCAAACAGGCCCTAAGTTTAGGGGCTAAATATGTAAATAGTTAAATTTTCGATGCATTGTACGTGGATCTCCTAAAACAAAAAAAATTAAATTTCGGCTAAAAGCTAATGATGGTAAAAATTCAGACGGATGTAGCGAACAGTAGGAAGATAATTGTGAGCAGAATGCATAAAACTCAATTCTAGTCTACAAGCCCGAAAGCAGTTTCTATCAATCAGCTTGAAATCAGGTTTCCGATCAATTTGAACCCAAAAAACTTGGATCAGATCATGAAATGAAACCAAATAATTCAAATTTAATTACGGAAATA